TGTGTGTGTGTGTGTGTGCGTGCGCCGGAGCCTCAGATCCACGGTGTAAATAAGCCCCAACCCACCCCAAATCGGTATCTTACTTACCTGTTTCGGATATCTTACTTGTCTTGCCGAGCCCTTTAAAGTAAATCCTAAAACCGTAACCCTGAACCCAAACCCTAAATCCCTAAACCCTTACCCCGAGCATCGAAATAGCCCAAAAGTCTTATATAATAGAGTCTTTGGGCCCAAAAGCCTTAAAATATGAGTCCTTTGAGGGTAAGGGTTAATCTCCCTGAACCCAAACCCCAAAACCTCAAACCCTAAATCCTAAACCCTAACCCCCAACAACCCTAAACCCTTAATCTGCCCTAATGTGCCAGATGAGTTGTGCATGGCTCAGGGGCCTTGGCCCACTGCGGGGCGCGGCCGCCACAGAGCCGCTGGAGCTCCGACGCCTCCAGGACCAAGGCACAGTGCCTCGAAGTCCAGGGGGTTTAGGGTTTTGGGTTTTGGGCTTGGGGTTTAAGTTTAGGGTTTGGGGTTTCGGTTTTGGGCCTGGGGTTGAAGTTTAGGGTTTAGGGTTTCGGTTTAGGGTTTTGGGTTTTGGGCTTGGGGGTTAAGTTTAGGGTTTAGGGTTTCGGTTTAGGGTTTAGGGTTTAGGGTTTAGGGTTTAGGGTTTAGGGTTTAGGGTTTAGGGTTTAGGATTCTGTGGGGGTTTACAAGAAGACTGAGCCATGGGTAGCCTAGAGGTTTTGGGGGGTCTTGAAAGACTCAGTGACGTTTTGTAGCTCTTGATGTCCTCATTGACGAACCTAGTTTAGGACATGTTCCTCAGTTGAAGGTTCCGGGGGTGTGGGCTGCGTTTGGGGTGTAGGATGCATGGGTTGGCACATTCCATATGGGAGTTTCCGAAAATAGGGGACCCTAATATAATACCCTAAATAGTCGGATCCTTCTTATCAGGAGCCCAAAATAAGGCACCCCTTATCTTCGGAAACTCCCATATAATGTGGGGATGAGGGTATCAACCTCAGCACACAGACTGTCTACCCGGAACCGCAAGCTCTCCATCGCAGCTCGTGGTTTTGAGTTGCTGTCTGCCTTCTTCTTAGCATGACTGCTCTTCTCCCTACAGCCCCTACACCTTAAACTTGTTGAACCCTGAGCACCTGAACCCCTAATACCTAATACTCTTAACCCTTGTAAACCCTAAGCTCTCGACCCATAAATCCCAAGCCCGTCACTCCTAAACTCCAATCAAGAATTCAATGTACGGCCTGAGTAGCCAGAATAGGCTTTTAATGGGGTTTTGGGTTTCAGGGCTTAGGGCTGGAGGTTGCGGTCGGGCCAGACCAGAAAACTTGAACCCAAACCCTGAATATTGGAACTAGCACCCTACACCCTACACTGCCCTAAGCGCTCTAAAAGCCCTACGAATCCCTAAACTCGAAGCCACCACAAGCGACTCCCGTTCGTGACAAGATCCAGACAGCCCAGGCTACAACATTTGACAAAATTGCGTTCCCCTTGGTGACAAATAATGGAGGCCTCGACGACAAAGTTTGACTCGGGCCCGCGCTGATGAAAAATTGTGACAGCATCTTGGGGGCCCAGGCGACAAAAAAGGCTAAGTCGGGCCGTTGTTGGTGACACCATTCACCATTCAAGGCGTTTAGGGTTTAGGATTTAGGGTTTAGGTCTCACCATTAGGGACCATAAGGGCTCCATTAGGGGTCACTTGGCGGGTCCTTACACAGCAAATCCTCGTGCCGAGTTGCTGATGGCCATGCTGCTTCGCATAGGCTTCGTGCGAAGCTGCGCAGAGAAATCCGGCGGAATAGGCCTGGCGCGACAGGGTTTAGGCTTCGGGTTTGACCCTAAACCCTAAACCCTAAACCGATGCCCTGAACCATTGAGCATCAAATGTCTGCCGAGGTTCTTTGTCGAAGGCGGTGAAGAGGAGAAAGGTATCCTCGGTCTCCTCTCAAAGGGCTGCTTTACTTATAATATAGGGGCCTTAATAATTGAATAGGGTTTTGGGGTCCATTATGCTATAAGCATAATAACGAACCCCCAAAATAGTGTTGGTAATTATTTAGGCACCTATTTGGCGCCAATAGGGTTTAGATTTTGGGGCTCATAGCCTACTGTATTTCGTTGTAAGGGTATATCAAAGCTTTAGAAAGCCTGTGCCCTTTACTTAAATCAACTAAAGAGGTTCACAGAACGATCTTCATCGACTAGGGGTTGGAGGGTTTGGGGATGAGGGTTGACTGTGAAGGTCGGGTGGGTATATGTCCCGACCCTGCAACATTGGCGCCCGAAATCGATCTTCATCTTAACAGACGAAGTTCAGACACTCCTGTCATTCAGTCATTCACTCAGTCCTGAGGTCATGTCATTTGGTTGATTCATCAATTCAGACAGCGAGTCAGTCAGTCCGTCATGCAGTCATGTCATTTCGTTCTTTGAGCCATTCATTCATGAATTAATGCATTCGATCATAAATTCATTCATTCATGCATTCATTCATTAACTTACGTATTCATTCATGCATTGAGCCATTTAAGCATGCATGTGTTAATTCGTCCATGCACACATCAATCATTCATCGCAGTCCAGTCCGTTCCATTCCATCTGTCCATCCACGCAATCATTCATTCCTTGGTCCAGTCATCTCATCAATGAGCTGACAGCTAAGTAGTCAAGCAATCAATCGAAGTCTTTATATGCCACACAAGTAACTCAGTGGTTAACTAACCACACAACTCATGCAATCTTCGACAAGCTATGGGCCGTTGGTTGATTAGCAAGCTATGTTGACTGACTGACTGCCCGATAGCAATCATAAGGATCATGGTATTGAAAGTCCGGAGAATACTGGTATCAAAATCAGAATTAACCGTAGCACTACTGACAGCTCAAATACAAAAATGACGACAACAGCCCAACAGAGGCCCACAATGATCATAACCATGTTGTAGGGGTTTAGTAAAAAGCACTAATCATAAGGATCACCCTAAACCCTAAACCCTAAACCCTAAACCCTAACCCCTAAAACCCTAAAATCACGTTCCGATGCTGGGCATGGCTTAATTCGGTGTAAAGGCCTACGATGGCCTACGGCGCAGGTCTAGGGTCTAGGGTTGAGGGTTTAGGGTTTAGGGCACGACTGACATCATCTTGTTTCAGTTAGAGCTTGGTAAGATTCCAGAAGTAGGTTTGACTAGTACCTCAATGCTTCCGATGCGCGGATGCCAGGGAGCAAAGCCGCAATACCCGAGCTCAAAATTTGACGAGCTGCAAACCGTATGTAGAAGTCCGGAACACAACTCTACAGCTCAGGAAAACCGCTTAAAGGCAGAAACAGCAAACCTCCAGCTCTGCCGACATCTGGCGCAGATGGAGACCGCCATGATATGCTTCTGTCTGAAATCACTTCTGTAAGGTTTAGGGTTTAGGGTTTGGGATTATTTGCAAACGTCCGCGAACTTCCTTCTACAATGCATCGCAAGCCTGTGTATGGTCTCAAGATACTATGCCTTAACCCTAAACCCTAGTGCAACTCCCCAAGTTTAAAATCCCAAGGCCCTAAACTCTACCTGGCATGCTTGGGACCTAGTACTTCGTTTGTTGGAGTTGTGTTTGTGAGCTGGGAGAATGGTGCCGTGCCATAAGGGTCCATGTTCCTCGGTTCCTATTCCTATATAGGTACTTTGGGGGCAAGAAACAATTGCCCCCATAACCCTAAACCCTAAACCCTAAACCCTAAACCCTAAGTGGTTTCTTGCCCCTAACTCCATATGGGCATATGGGCCCTTATGTGAAGCCTGGACACTCTACCCTAGACCCTGAACCCTGAACCCTATATACCCCTCTTTGTGCTCAATCCGAGGACCCAGTGCGTAGATTCTTGGGTTTAGGACAATCGTAACGGTCATAGTAGGATCGTAGTTAAGGATCAGGAACAAATACGTAGATTCTTGGGTTTACATCGGAAATTCGTAGTAGTCCCTGTAGGATAGTAGTTGGAGAGAACACTTTTGTAAGGTAAACCCGAAATCCTAAACCCTACTTCGTAGGGTACTTGGGCAGTTAGGGGTAGGGTTTGGGATACCTGGAAGGTCGGATTCCGGCCTTATGTGTGCAATGGTGTATACCCAGTAAAGGTTTAGGCATTAGGGGTTTAGAGGTTAGGGGTTTGGGGTTTAGGGTTGTAGCATCTCCATCAAAGCTGAAGGTCTGCAAGGTCTTGGGTTTACTGTTTAGGGTTCAGGGCTCCTGACCCTGGGTGGTTAGTGTTGTTCACAGCTTCTCAGTTTCGGGGTGATAAGGTTGAACGCATGAGCGGCTGCATCAGCCAGGCGACCAACAGAAGCGGCTTTTCACACTCTCGTTACTGCACCGTAGCATGCCCTCGCTACCTGCTACCTGTTTCTCCAGGCTCTGCAGAGCTATACATGGAAACCACTAGCCCAAAACGAAGCCCACTATGCTCCACGCCGTGAGGCCTGGAGCCGCCAAAACCCACACCACGACATGTGCACCCCCCAAAGCACCTAACAGCCGAGCTAACTAAGCACACTAGTCTCTGCAGCCGAAAGGCTCATA